GCTACGGTCGTCACCTGGCGAATCTTTCCTTGCTTGTTGATCATTCCCTCTCTTTCTCTTAGCTGCGTCACTTGTAACATCTATGGAATCACCTTTCGAGAACTCCTTTTCTTCTACAGAACAGGCGAAGACCGTGCCTTTGCCTTAACAAACAAAAAAGAGTATAAAAAACAAACAATCATAATGTATGGGGACGTTTCAAAAACTTACTTTYTACAGTGCTCCAAGGAACGTCTTTGCCCTCTCCAATACCGTATGATTTCCACACCACCAAACTAGGAGATTTAGAATTCCGTTCTTTGTATTGGAAGTTGTTATAGCTATTCACACCTTTCAAATTGCATTCTGGCAAGGACACATGTATGTTGGCATTGTCAATGAGTACCACCCGCACTYCTAGTATGCCACCATGGGATGTCATGGCATTAAAGAGTTGTTCTGGAGTTGTTACGTCATTTCCTTCGTTCAGATATCTGCGAACATGCGACTTGATTGTGGCTGCTTTCCTATCGCAGGCCCCTTTACCTCCCTGAGGATCAYTGAAKTCGATTCTTACAATCTTGATCCCTACGTCTCCTAGATGTCGGCATGCTGTTAGCAGAGCAACACTGTGGTAGCACCCTGCGTTGTCTTGTCGTAAAAAAGCAGAGACTAACTYTGGGTGCTCTTTCTTCAGTTGAATCAATGTATGCTTTAATAATGCTATGACTGTGACAGCATCTTGTGTGGTATTCTTTACAATTTGAACCAGGGTTTGATGCTGTATTACCCCTCTAACCTTTCGTACAACTACACTAATGTGCCAGGATATTCCGCGTTTGGCAAACCAGTCTGCCTGTGTCTCGCGAAATTTTTGAGGCAGAAATTTCATTGCCCAGTCGTTGGTTAAGAAAACAGATGTCTCATCTAGTTTCTCTAAAACATCAAGCCGCGCTTTATCTTGTTGGATGGATCTTAGCTGGTGAGCTTTCCAGGACTCAATAGCTTCAAGTGCTTGTCGTACAACATACAAATGCTCATCTTGGTCGTCACGTGGTAAACATGAGGTGACCTTTCCTTCAACACACTGAGTTGCCATTTTCAATCCGTCGCATGCCGCACAGTGTTCCTGGTGGACATGATCACAATCAACAGATTTAAAGCATTTGTCTTTAGAGTCACTAAGAGCATACTTGATACAATGATCAGCGCAATTTGTTGAGTCAGACACGTGAACCTGTTGAATAGACAATATCAACATCACATAACAATATGTTGAAGAAACAGTCTGTAAGCTTTATGACACATACCTTATATTCGCCTTTCAGGTACTGCTTTCTTTTCTTCAATGCTACTTCAATTACTTGCAATTCTTGCCTTTTTTCAGGGTCATAATCAGACAAGCGTTGTAAGATAGATACCAAGTCATCGAAGGCTTTGGCTCCTTCTGCCGCAACATAATCCAAACCTTGCAGAGATTTGCGCACTGATGCTGGACACGCGGAGAGTATTCGTCGCATGGTAGAGACACTGAAGTGAGCAAGATTTTCTTCTTGACAATACTGAATGTACTGATCTATGATACGTTGCGGTATCATAGTTCTAATGACGTTTGGTGTTTTCAGGATTTTTCCGTTGGAAAGTTCGACATATCTCTGACCAAAAGGCAGATCTTGAATGATATGTGAGTTTGTGATAAATGTCAGGAAATGGTCGAGTTGGCTTATATCTATGCGAATCCTAGAGCTTTGAGTTTCAGGTACAATTGCGCCACGCCCATATTCAATTCTATGCCTTCGAGCTGCCTTAATCTTAAAATCGGTTACACCAGGGATAACCTCCCTTCACAGTTGAGTAAGGTACCAGGTCAGCGATGATTGATAATATTTGACGTCTTACATCCCAGCTGTTTGCATTATTATAAGCTTCGGCTAAGGCTGATAGGTAAGAACTATCAATTGGATGATGGAGTCCCAATGCTTTATCAAGAGAACTTGAAAGTACCAGGTCCTTCCACAGGCCACCGGGGTTGATTGGCTGCACGACTTCTAAGACTGCCATAACAGCATCTGGAGCCTGATCAACATATTTTTTCCGAGTATGACTGGTTARGTCTTCCCATGCTTTACTTGTCTTTGAAATGCTTGATTTACCACTTGTAATAAGAAAATCATTTAATTTAGTGCGACGCAGAGATAAACTA